GAAATGGTTGCTTTTGGTCTCTCCATAATCCCTTTTGGAACTATTCTGCTTCTACTGGAGCCAGCCTCTATAGCTGGTCTGTCTTTCTTTTGTTCTGGCTAATTTAGGTTGAACATATTAACTTGTGGCGGGGTGGTGACGGATGGAGGTTTTTCTGCCAGCTTTAGCCTTCCTGCTGTTATCCCTTCCTGTATGACATCTCTGAAAACAACACAACTATTGGTAGAATGATTCCAAGAATTGTGCCATCTGCAATACTGTCTGCCCTTGAGTTCTTCTGGTTTGGGCATTCTGTGAGGTGTCTCTATTGCTTTCTGCAGCAACATTTCATCGAACAAGGCATCTACTTTGGTCAGATCAAAGGAATACACCTTGTTCTGCATTGGTTTGTTTGGAACAAACCCTCCTGTGAATGGTAGCGGCTTCTGATCCCTTGGAGGCTTTGTAAGAGTCTTACAACTGATGGGATGTTTTAATTTTGCCATTTCCGCCACTGCAACCTCTCCCTCCTCCGATCCCTCTATATCTTCTTCTGACTCAACTTCAATCATATGTATTGAGGAAGAAGGGGATTTATAATACGTGCCTTTGGAAGAGTTTCTCTTCTGCTGTTCTTCCCTGAGCAATTCCTTGTACTTGGACGCTTTATCTGCCAGTTCTGCCAGATCTCCAAACAGCATCCCATCAAATCTTTTTCTCAGAGAAATCTTGAGGGCAGCTTGGGCCATTTGGATGAAGTGTCTTTGTTCCATGGGGATTCGGCACTTCATTTTGAGCTTCCTGAACTTGTTTATAAAGTCTAGGGCAGGTTCGTCTTCATTTTGTTTGAGGGCAGCAAGGTCATTGATGGTGACTTCTGGCTGAATCCTTTAATAGTAGTCATGGAAGACACTCTCAATTTGTTCCCAAGTCTGAATGGAATTTGCTGGCAGATTAGTGTACCAAGTGAAAGCTTGTCCAGAGAGAGAATTCCCGAAAAGTCTTAGCTTTAACAGTGGGTTATTCTCTATGGCTATGCATTGGATAGAAAATCTGCCTACGTGTTCGACTGATGAAGCATGAGGATCCTCTCCGTTGAATAAAGTGAAGTTTGGCACTTTAAAACCTGGGGACAAAGGTATCTGATCAATGTAAGGTGGGTATGGCTTTCTATAGGTGGGTCTTTCTCCCCTCCTGGCCTCAGGCTCCATCATTTCCCTGATCATCCTTTGCAATGCCCCCACATCATTTAAAGCATTAACAGGTAGGAGATTTTGTCCCTGTTCTGGCTGGGCATAATTAATTCGGGGTTCTGCCCCATATGGCCTAGGCAGAACTTCTTCCTTGTGTTCCTCCGGTTCTTCCAAAACTGGGTGGTTCCTCCAGTTTGCCCCCTGCCTGTTCCTGTCATTGTTAGCATAGGGGTAGTTTCCCCCTCTGCCTCTCCTTCCTCTTGCAGGTGAAGGGAATGGATTGGGGTCCATCCTTCTGGGCCTGTAGGGTAATACTGCTGGCTGTTCGGGCAGAATTTCCATAGGGTGATCTTGTGGGGCCGCTTGTTGTGGAACAGGTTGAGGCTCTGGTTGATTCTGCGGAACTTGTCCTGGCGCAGGACCTTCTGGCCGTATTGGGGCCTGACGTTCTTGGATAGGAAACGCTTCTTCCCTGTGTCCA